ATTGGGTTTTAATTTAGCGAATTTTCCAGTCAGCGAAATAAGCCAAATTAAAACCCAGTGAATAATTAACCCCTTTACAGTAGTATCAATCATCTGTATATTCCAGCAAGGATTCCTATACAATTTTGAGATGATTTTTATACAACATTTCACATTCTTACAACTGTAGTATTTTAGAAAAGTGTTAAATAATTTCCAAATTTTGATTTAATTGGTCATAAATAATATTTGAAAGAGAGACCAAGGATGAGTGGCCCAGTCACATGAGGGTATTCAGATCTGTTGATAATTCATCTAAATGTTAATCACAGATGAAAAGTCTGATCTGTTAAAACTCAACCATCTTCATTCTCTCTTTCTTTGATTTATTGAATTATTTACCTTGGTAATAGTCATTTCCATGATAACATGACAGAAACACTGAAAAATACTTAATCTTATGTTCAAATAATTTTTAAAAATTGTGTACGTCAGAACAAATCATGACATTATCTAAGAGTAAACAGATCACTGTCGTCCGTTAGACTGGGAGTCAGAATGATTCTCCAGACTATAAATTATTGGATAACAATCTTTTTAAATGGTAAAAATGTTTTTGTTTGGATACTTCAAGAATTTACACAATTGTCTTAATGTTTTTTGACAATTGAATTTAGTTTGTGGGTTCTTTCACTTAGTAGGAAGTGTTTTAATATTTGTATGTAATCCAGAGAAATGTTACCATTATGCAATCTTTTCATGAATAATTGTATTTTTTTAAATTCCAGTCAAATGGATTAAGGATATAGTGTTCACATCTTACGGAATAATGTGTCTTGGTTTCAGTTCCATTTAAATGGTCCCTGGACATAATGCTCTGTTGATCAGAAGCCTTGTTGACACCATTTGTTTTTTGTCAAATAAAATTGCTTATTTACAATTTTTTGTTTAATTTGGACTTGCTCAGAAGTCTACTACTGAAAAATCATTTTGATTTTAAAGACCCATGTAATGTGGCCTGATCACAATATCGTTGTTTATTTGAGGTGTGTCTGTCCATAAAGTGCTCCAGCCTTAGTTTATACATGTCCTTATCACATGGCATTGATTGATAATGGCCACTTAACTAAAACCATGGATATGTCTAAATGTTGCTCCACCGTTTGTCAAATCATGATTTCTGACCTTTTTCAAAGGAGTCTCATCACTTTTCTGTAAAACTTTCTGTCATAATTGTGTCTGACAAATACTCACTGTTATTCATCGTCACCATTTTTCCGGCTTTGAAAAAGCAATTTGATTGGAGCTGGGCTTTGCCTTGACCAATCCCATTCAAACTTCACATAAGCATCTTTGGATATTTATTCCAGCCAATTCCAGATTTCGTTTTAACAAATGCTGTTTTCGATCCATATCACTGACATGACCTAATGATCATGTTGTGAATCATTATCAATGCATCAAAATTTAGCAATTCAACCATTTCAAAACCGGATCTTGCTCATGTATGCAAGATTTTAATATTTGGGACACGCATTGATTGGATTAGATCAGATTCATAATGGCCGATTGGTGGACATTTTGTTTTAACAAATGCTCTTCCAGGGCCATAGTCTTGTGACAGATTGCAATCAATTTGAAACACATTGAACATTATGTCTGACAGTCAAACATAATAACATGCATTTGTTTTAATTACTGATTTAAAATGGCCCTCTCATCTCGATTTTATTCAGTATTGAACAACAGGGACTCACTCTCTCATGTCATGGCATGATTTGTTTCAAATTGCTATACACTTGTTATATACATACTTCCTGTCTGTCTATTCTGATTGGTTAACTAGAAAACCTGTACCTTTACATGTATAGACAATTGTGTTCAACCTGCCTGGATAATGTTTATTTCATGCATACACGTATACATGAAACGACTACTTGGCCAGTGATATACATGTAGACAACATTGTTTTATATAAGTTACCTGAGCTTATCAAGTTGATATATGGGGACAATTTGAGCAGTACATCACTTCTACAAAGTGAACTATGCCACACTTCTACTATCTCATTTTCTTATTGATTATATTAAATTAATCAGAATTCTGTGTCAATCCAGTTTTAGATATAGGCCGAGATTGTAGAATCAACCTACATCACAGATGCCATGCCATGCCATCCTGTCAGTTAAATGCAGATGAGCCAATTCTTTGAAAACGCAATTTAATCAGTTTGGGTGTTGACACGTTCAACCCACCAACCCAAGATCTGATGCTTATTTGATTGAAACATTGCTCTTATATATATTAAAGCCATACAGTACAGTCTGTATGATTATAAAGTCATTTTTTCGTTGACTAATTCATGATTGTTATATTTTGAGCATCTGGGTACAATTTAGCCTTATTTTGGTACATGTAGCTACTGTGATGTATCTACATGTGAAAATGAGGAAATGTTTTTTTGGGGCAAATTACACTTGTAGTGTTGTATCTGATAAGTAGTAGATCAACCTGTTTAACTTTTCGTATTTGAAGTTAAATCTATTATTTGAGATATTATGCTATACACATTTTTGTAAGCCCCACATATATGCCAGAATCAAGCAAGCGTGAGCTCTGAACTCTGGCTGCAAAGCAATTAATTGTTTTGGCTTGAACACTGTATTAAAGGCAATGCACAAGGGTGCAGGGGCTTGTAAACTTCTATTTTGAAGTTAGGCTCTGACCTGAATTTTCTTATCCTGAACTGGAGGTTTACCTATTACAAAACTAATACCCTTTTTGTTGTTCAAAATTTTCAAGGTTTTGATGATTTAAGGTAATCAATGTGGCAAATGTTGCAAAAGATACTGTGACCTGTTTCAGTGACCCCAGTGGAATATTCTCTGCTCAGCTAATATTCACAGTATGTGTGATCACAACCATACCAAACCACTGTGGCCAAAGTCAATGTTTTTCAAAAATGTTGATGAAGACAATGATCAATGTGGCCAATGAGAAATTATATCCATATGGTTCAAAATTAAGCAATAAATTATAGAAAATACATAAATATGTACAAAACGTTTCTGTTGATTTAGTTTATTAGAGCATCCTGAATCTCTCTGTATATCAGTCTATTTTCAAACTGTGAACCAGGTATATAATTGTTTACTTGTGGTGTTGTCAGTATTGTTTTACTGGTAACCCACTGACATTGCAAAGACTTGATCACACTGCCAGTTCACATATTTCAAGGTTAAGCATGGTGTTGTAGTATGCCATCCACTGGCTTCCGGTAACTTTTTTTTTATAATTACAGTTTTAAAAGCAGTTTGTGAGCCAAATTCAAATTTTTTTCTACTGAGCATGTCACTGCACATATATGCAATGCATTATGGGATAGGACCCCATTGTATATACTAGTAATTGAAAACTTATTTCACCCTGGAAACTCACTAAATTATGTAATTTTTTTTTTTTTTGCAATATTAGGTTTCATATCAATAAAAATACATGATTTTTTCATCACATGCCACAGAGCAAATTTGTGAAATATGAATAAATAATCCAACTATTGGAAACCTGTGAAAAATTATAATTGTGACCATTGTTCATGACATTTGGGACTCTTGTATGTCAAAACATTGTCTGGTGGCGCCAATTTTTGTTTTCATTTTCGGTATTCTGATTATATGAACTCGTAATGAAGACAGAATGACAAAATTGACATAATCTTGAATTATCAGCTCAAACCTCATTAATAATAGATTAAAAGTGGGCATAGTGCTTACTGTGAGCTACTTGTGTTTCGTGGTTCACAAATTTTAGTAAACTGCAAAAGTTTGTAGCAGTGAAAATTTTACTGGAGTTCTCATGAAACTGATCATTAAATTGGAAAACTTTTTGCAGTGAAAATTACATTTATTAAAGAGTTAGGATAGTTAAAAACTTGTATTCTATTTTATGTATTATTGGATATATTATTTGATTGGTGGTTTACAAAGAATGACAATTTTTAGCGATTGATTAGTATGAAACATCATTTTGTCTTTATAAACGTAGAGCTTGCAGTTGAGCTCAATGTACACACATCAAAATTTGTATTGCCAGTTTCTCAGAAAGTACTGCACTTTCTTCATTCCTATGAGGTCCATAAAACAAAGAAATCACACCATTTTCACACATAGGATAAAGACAGAATACGCTGGCACTTCCAGGATATATAGTTTGACTGCAGATAAAGTATCTGAGTGTGCAAGCCGAGACGATTTACTACAGGGAGGATTTTATATCCTAGAAGAGCTCACATATGTGTTGCTTTATCTGCAGCCTCAGCACCATCTGTAAATATGTACTGTGGAATACTTTATTTTTGCTGGAATTAATTTTCGCTGAAAAGGCTTTTTGGACATTTTGTGTGGAATTTATTTTCACTGATTTTTGATGAGTTTAATGTGAAATATAGGAAAAAAAGTATATTCGCTGGATTTTATTTTCACAGAACCATCCCTTCAGCGAAAATATCGAAAATAAATTCCAAGCGAAAATAAAGTATTCTACAGTATTTATGGAGAGTGTCTTGCATTTAGTGTATTCAGTGAATTCTGACAAATGGCACTATGATCCTTTTTTCAAATGGAATATCCTATGAAAGCCCTGCGGCAACAACTTCAACATAACAATTTTTTTCTTGGCGTCAGGAGTATCAAAACTGTCACATGGTCTATATAGAAGCCCTCAGGCTTTATATTACATTAACTTTCCTCTGGAATTTAATATGATATAAATACACAAGAACTTTACTTGATCCCAATTGTGAACTGACTAAATGCACAACAAATAAAATTATGAAGCATTTAGTGTATATAAAGCCTGGAAATGAAGCATTCTGATTGGCTGAGGTTTTAAAATGTACTTTGATCTTTTAAGGCATGTACTAGAACTATGGTCGAACTTGCTGTACATCCAGAATCTGGATGAAATGTTAAAAATGCTCTGTTAATATGCAGTAGTATAACTTTTATTTTATTTTATTCCAGGCAAAACCGAAACTTGTTGAACCTCTAGATTACGAGAATGTCATTGTACAAAAGAAAACCCTTATGCACAGTGATTTACAAAGGGATATGTTATTTTTCCCTCATGATGATGTAGCTGTAAGTATATCTTGAAATCCTTATCATATGAATGTATTATAACAATATTATCTTTATTCCCTACTATGTATGGAAAAGTGTGTCATGTTTTCTAAATGCAAGAAAAATAAATTTAACTGGTTTGTATGTTTGTATGAATTATCAGGGCTAGGCTACCCTTGAATGCCAGTCTTGATCATATCCAGCAAATTGTATTAAATTGTATTAAGTGTATGGATCTTTTGAGTCGCACAGAATTTTGCCTTTTATTTATCCAAAGCCTTGTTTTAGCTTTGTGTGATGAATTGCTGCGATGTTACGAGGATTATACCACTCTTGATTATACCACTCTTGATTATACCACTCTTGATTATACCACTCTTGATTATACCACTTTTGATTATACCACTCTTGATTATACCACTCTTGATTATACCATTTCGGCCTGTAAACCTTTCTGTAAACTTTTTTTTCCTATGCATATTGTATACCAGTCAGACTTGTGTTCATACATTTGTATGCAGAATATAATTTCCATAGTTGTATTCATATGCTAAGTGTAATTGCTACAGATAACTTTACATAACATTGTCTTAGCTACATAACTGTGAAATATTTTATAAACTGCTATTGTAAATCAGCCTGTACAGCTTTAGTCCAGTTGAAGTGACTGAAGTTCTTTCTCAGCTGTTACAAAAGTAGGCCAAAGAAGGGGTTCAAAACCACAACATCAACCATAGCAGGTAGAGCCACAACATCAACCATATCAGATAGAGCCTCTAATGACTGAGCTATTGCGATTTCCTATAGAGATTCTGGGGAATATTAGGAATTCAAATGCTCATTTCAATGTCAAGTAGTATGCTTTGAATTATTCATGAGCAAGTAACTAAGTGTACAATACATCTCTACTCTTTGTGTACCATTATGGTGTAGCTCCTGAATCTGTAACTGAATTTGAAGTTGGATTATGAATTTGAGGTTGGATTTTGAATTTGAGGTTGGTTCCTGAATTTAAATATGAGGTTAGAATCTAAATCTGAATTTGAGGTTGGATTTTGAATTTGAGGTTGGTTCCTGAATTTAAATATGAGGTTAGAATCTAAATCTGAATTTGTGGTTGGATTTTGAATTTGAGGTTGGTTCCTGAATCTGAGGTTGGTTCCTGAATCTGAGGTTGGTTCCTGAATCTGAGGTTGGTTCCTGAATCTGAGGTTGGTTCCTGAATCTGAGGTTGGTTCCTGAATCTGAATATTTATTTGGAATTTCGCTTCTGAAGCTAAATTTGAGTTTGGTTCCTGAATCTGAATGTGAGGTTGGAATCTGTAACTGAATTTAAATTTTGATTCTGAGTTAAAAAAAATGCTTTGTTACAGAATAATAGTCTGTTAAAGGTGTCAAGTATGAAATAATTTGGGGACAAAAAAACAAACCTCTATAGAAATCGGAATAATAGGTCTTTTGATTATCGAAGACGCATTTCAATGGACTTGATTACGGACAATGCCTTGTGTAAATTTCACCAGGAAATTCCGCAGTGTGCTCTCGCAATCGTGTACTTAGTCATTTTTACAAGGTTCGCCATTTTTTATGTCACGTGGTAATTATGTAAACAATGACTGTCCAATTTGTGCGAAATTGTCCCTCTATACTTAGTCTTTCGAAATATATAAGTTAAATTACGGTTCTAAATGAGACAACAGACAGAGAATGTTTTTTTCAAAAACCTCACCAAACCCTTCTCGCTACCTTAAAGGTTGTTATCTGAATCTGAATTTGAAATGGATTCTGAAGCCATAAAATCGAATATCTTAAATCTTGTATTGGAAATTGGTTCTTCATGTAGCACTATTTTCTACACATTTAGTGCAAGAAAAACGTTTTATTGTGATGGGAATTCTGAGAAATATTTGCTCTACACAAATAATAAACACAGGAAATAATAAATTAACACTCCTGATTTCACAAAGATAAATCTTTTTGGAAAATTCTGCGAAAGTGGACAAACCCTGCAGTGAAATTCGGTCAATAGCATAAATCAAAAAATGAATCATTTAGGAGTATGTAACAACATCTATCCGGAATAAAAAAAGCAAATTCTTGAAACTTCATTTCTTACTAATACGTAATAGTACATCTGTATAGCATATGTCACAAGATGTTTATATAGTGCAGGCCTTGGTCAAGTTACAGTATCTTATATTTCATTCATATGTGGTTTTCTGTTCCACTCCTTATTAAATGCTGACAACTGACATAAAGAATCTGTCAACATATCCAGTAGTGTACAAATGTTGGGTTAGTCATAATTTCACTGACAGTATTGAGTTACTATATTGTATCAGGCAGTTTAATATACAGTATTGGAACTGTTTCAAGCACATACAATACAGGGACATGTAAGATGTATGCGTCACATGGGAACCATTTTGAACACATGGCATGTTGACCATGTTGACCATGATGTTTTGACCCTTATCTTGTCAAGTCAATTTAAAAGTACATGGGGCTGGCAGAATAAGAGACCTTTTCTATGTCTGTGACTGAAATTCTTGGTGTTAACTACTGTCTTGTCTACTCTTCTACACTAGATGATTTACCGGTATGCAGTTTTCATTAAATTTTGAGTATTTTGGCATAAAATGAAATTGAACAGTTCTGAACTGTACGAATCAAAAGCTGACATATTACGTTGTTTATCAGCTAAATTATTTTTATCTTTACTACAATAAAAACTGTCATGTTTTGAATTCTGAAAGTATGTACGAGTTTTAATCAGACACAGCGGTAACACAAATGTAAACCGAGAACTGACTTCTCAGAGTAGAGTGAACCAAGTGAGTATTGGTCACCAAATCTGAGAGGAGAACTTGTAACTAAGATGTTTATTATACAACTGCTAGGCCTGAAACCGAGTCCAAGTCCTCACAAGATGTTCCATACAATCTAGCAATATCAATGAGCAAATATAACTTGCATCACAGCCTCAAATCATCACAACCAGTAAGATGGTCAAATAACTCAGTCTAGTGTAAGTTTCAGACCAATCAAAACAGAATATGCTTACATCAGATATTGATTTTATGATATCTTCAATTGTTGAACATAGAGCCTTCAATTTGGTGACTTGATCGCAACTGAATCTACGGAACTGCTTGGTGATGTTCGGGCCTTGAAAAGAATTATACTTGTAATGCAGATATTTTGGCTAGCGATCTTTGAGGACGTATCATTTTTTTGAAAAGTACATCAATCATATTTGCATCTAACTTCTTTGTAGCGGTGTCTCTTTTAATTAAATTATGAACAAGACAATTACTGAAAAGCGCACATGCTTTAAGTAGACTGTTGCCAATCCTGCTGGCCATATATTCTATATTTTTGTATTAGTGAAATACAGAATAAATTTGACCCAAGGGACTGACAGTGTATATGGTATAGTACATTCTTTCTCAGCAAATCAACCTCTTTGTGGTTAATTAAATTGACCACAGACTTATTACTCTACTGGTGATCAAAATCAGTCGGGCATACACTTCTTAAATCAAGTTTTGATTGCTGCAATCTACCACAGCTGATGTTGGTATATGACATAGATTTAAAGCCCTTGTATTTCATTTTGAAATTAAATGTTCTGTTGAGTTTGAATTAATAGCCAAAGGGTCTTTACATATTAATTAATTATGTTGGGATATATTCTTCCGGCTGCAAATGCGTAGTGGAAATAAGATCCCTTGGCGTTACTATGCCGTAAAATGTACGCTCCACACATTATTATTCATCAACAACTATCAAACTTTTTGAATAATGTTGCATGAAAAGTTACATTGTAATCTCGCCACCTGTATAAATAAAATATCACATTTTTCGCACAGTATCGAGTATCTCACAAAATTGATCTTTGATTTGCTGTGTCATTATGTCAAGTAAAAAAATTTCTGCTTGGCTTACAAAATGCCAGTGATTGTTCTAAGTCTTCTGTAAATCAATCAGGACTAGTTGGTTTTCATGATGAACTTTCCTCTTTCATCAGAAAATGGAATAGAATTATTTGCATTTTCTGGCAGGTGTTTTATTGTTGACGTCATCAGAAAAATCGGCTGATTAAGTTATGGTATTATGTATGCATCATTTTAATAATGTGCCCTTGATACAAAACTATCAATATCTTTTTGATGAGTTAATTAACAATTTCATTTGCCGAAAAAAAACATCTGTCTCTTAAAAAGAAGTTCTAATATTAGGTATGTGTATCTCTTTTCAGTGACTTGGGAAGCTATTTTTACTGATGTTTAAGGCACCACACAGTTACTTTGGTATATGTTATATTATATAGGTTAAAATTAAGAGTTTGTGAAAATGGAGGAGGATTGGTGTTAATGTACCCTCCCCTCCATACGTCCACTGTTCTATGATTGATGTACAATGCTGCTGGTCATGGAACTCATTTGCATAGTTGCACATCGCCATGTTTTTGGAATGAAGGCATAGACTCAGCCAGTCCAGATGATTTCCTGATCAGTACACAAGTTTTGCAAAATTTTAATATTTTGCACATAAAAAACACAATTTAACCCTGACTTGGAGCTATTTTAGTGATATTAATTTAGCAACTTCTGATCTGTGTGTATTTTACAAGGAAAAAGGAAACCAGGTGTATCCTATCACTCCTGCATGAACTGAAATTACCAATTAATTACTTGTTTATTGTGTCCTGTCACTGCCTGTTAAATAATGGTAAATTAAAAATAGCCAGTACTTTGGATTAGCCAAGCAAATGTTGGCACCATTATTGTTATATTTTGTGTCTGGGAAATTATGAAGCTAGTTATTTCAAGGCTAAATTGACAAAAATCATATTCAGATTTCAAACTAATACCTTTTTAGTAATGACGCTTGACTTGTTTGTTACTCTCCCTTCTTATCTGAAAACATGTTGATTAAAAACACAAAGGAATTGTGAAGTCATCATACAATGTACAGAAAGTTTATTAAAATGATGGTCTAATTGTTTGAAGTCT